GCGGCCCGGAGGGTCGGGTACCGGTACCTGCCCGGCGCTGCGCGGGCCGCGGGAGCACGCCGGCGTCTCCCTGCCCGCCGCGCGCGGCGCCCGCTCCGCGTCCCTTTCCGTCCCGGTCTGAAATGGCGGGGGACGGGGAGGGCCGGGGCTGGAGCTGCCGAGGGAGCCGAGCGCCGAGCGGGCCGTCCGATGGATGGGAGCGATCGATGCGCTCCGCGCTCCTCGGCCCCTCCCCTCGCCGCGCCGCCTCAGCCGGCGGGGGGTGGGAGAAGCGGCGTGGAGGGGGGGAGGGCGGCGCTTCCCTCCGCAGCCCGTGGGAGGGGCCGCCCGCTTGCAGGGCGGTGGCGGCGGCGGGAGGGGCGCGCGTTCGCTGAAGAAGCGGGGCGCTGAGGAAACGGAGCCTGCGCCCGCTTTCGCCTTGCGGGCAGTGCCCCCTGGGCCGCGGCGGCGTGGGAAGCCGTCCTCGGCAAGAATAAAATGAAGCGGTTTTATCCGTAGCCGGTCCGAGAAATGTCAGGCGGGCCTCGCGGAGTCGTCGTGAAGCTCGGGCAGCCGATGGCCATTGGCTGATTTCAAAATAACGTGCGAGGCTTCGGCACTTTGCCGCCGAGATGTTCAGTCCAGAAGTTGTTTTGTTGTTAAACGAGCTGACAGTAAGCCTGTTTTCTTATTAAGGGCCAAAAGCGTAATTCCTGGTAACTGAGGAGATGTGACGCGGGGCCTCTGAGCGCACGCACTGCACCCACAGCGGTGGGATGTTTTCAGGTGGCGAAGCTTCCTCCTAATAATGGAGCCTGCCCCAGGGCTGGCTGCTGCGATGCTGACTGGCTCACACCAGGGATTAATTGGAGCCGTTTTCCTTTCCCTCTTAAAAATGGAAGGTCAAAAATAAACACGGCATGCCTACACATCTGGTGATCGAGAGATTTAATTTGAGAGGCCGGAGCTTTGTTCTCCACAACTGCGTGTGACCCGACTTCCAGCTTCTTTGGTTCTCAGCATGATTCTGGGCTGTGCCCATCTGAGCAGCAAAGCCATTAACCCTTTGGGACTGCGCCATCTAATTCAGAAAGTGTGTTCCTGTGATTAATTCATGCAAATAAGCTGAAGCCCCCTTGCTGCTTTTTCTAACACTGTTACCTGACGCTAAGGTGTTAAGATTTGATCAGATAGCAAATGCATCTTGGAGCTGATGTGTGAAAAATGCTGTCTTTTCAGGCAGAGCCTAGGAAAGGTTGGACGAGCTGCTCTCCTTGTGTTCTGGAAATCAGCTTTCTCTGTCATTGAACCCAGTGACAGAAGTCCTATGCACTCCTGTGGGAGCCTGTGTAAGGATGCATATATGCAATGGGAGGGTATATGTTATTATGAACTGCAGAGGAAATGCAATTGGTAAGCATCTTGTGATCCCTGTTTCTCCTCACTCCTTAGACGTTTGTAAGCTGGTCATTTTTGTGTTCAGTGTTCTTACTAAAACTAAAAAGTTTCTAAAACTCATGAAAATACATATGACAGTGTAACGTACAAAATCATCTCAGAAATGAGTGCTAAAATGGAGTGCTTCAGATGGCATATTAAGTAGACTATCTCGCATGAGCAGATGTAAAAACCTAAAGAAAAACCTGCTTTCAAAGAACAAGTAGCCTGGTGGTAAAACCACAAGCTTGGGATGTGGGAAACCCACATTCCCATCTGTGGTGTGAAAGAAGCAAAGAAAGGATTTGAATGCAGATGTTCAGTAACTGAAGTTAAGTGCCCTAATCAGCTCTCTTAGGATAGCAGGATCTCACTTTGGTATTTTGCTTCCCCTAGGAAAACTGTGTGTGTTGTGGTTCTTCCTAACGCAGTGGGAAAATGCCTGTGTCACAGGAGAACTTGCCCAGTCCTGTACATAATGCTGATGTTCCACAAACAGCTTTGATGGCTTGCTCTCATCTATGGAGCTTTATATGTGGAGAAGCTGTTCATCTTTAAGCCCACACAGTCACTGCTAGGATCAGAAGAGGAGAGAACCTCCTCTGTGAAAGATTCAGGTCCTGATGACAGCTTGAATCCCCGTGTCTCCATATGATCTCAGTGAAATGTGCAAACAATCATTGTGCAAATAGTTGGAAGACAAAAGGAATTGCTGGGATTCTGGAAAAAGCAGGATGCAAGGTTTGATTTCTTTGCTGTGTACAGATTTGTTCGTGAATGTCCACTACAAACTTGCTGTTTGCTCTCATTTAAAATTATTTTAGAAATGCCATCTCAGGCTTATGGGTGAAGTGGTTTGACAACAAGCTGAAATAAATGAACTAGTCAAAAATATTAAGTTACATGTTGTTGAAAAGTCAGCGCAAGTGAGCCTTCTAGATGAAGTGTTGTTCAATGAGATACCAACTTCATTCTAGTGATTGTTTCTTCAGAGCAATTTGCACAGACAATTATTATCTTTGCACAGGTGAAGATGTCTAAAATACCAGACACTTCCGTGTGCTGAAGCTAAATGCTTTTGTTAAGTTAAAGCATATTTATGAATTCAAAGGCTTCCTCATGTTTGCATTAAAATATTTCAGTCCTCCGGATCCTCCCAGGATATGGATCTTTGAGGGCTCGCAGGGCAAACCACCAATCCCAGCTCCCTCGTGAAATCAAACACCAGGCCCAAATGCAGGTATAACCCCTTCAGCCACACATTTACCTTATTCAGATATACCTAATCCCAAACATTATACAATAAAGTTGATGTCATTTTAACATTGAGAATGCGTGAGCTTTCACCACCTGACTGTCAGCACTTGTGGAGTGGGGAGAGGAAATGTAAAAATACAGCTCCAGACTCAGGGTAAATAATAAACTTTCTCTGACAGAGATTGTTAGACAAGCTGAGACAAGAGTTAATTTTCCTGTGGTTTTTCCTGGTGTTTAACCCTATGCAAAGCAGATGCAAAGCCAATGGAGAATGACTACAGGAAGATGGGTGGGTTTGTGCAACTTAAAAGTTTGCCTGCTGTAAGTTAAAAAAAATACCAGTAAAGAGAATTTGTCACACACAGTTAGGCCAAGGGTTCGTGGCCATTGCAACTGGCAGTGTGGCTCATATTGTCAGATCATCACCATCAAACCTTCTGTCCTGGCCAGGCATGAACATGTAATTTTGCCAGAGGCCACAGTGCTAGGGTTTCTGGTGGTTTTGTGCTTTTAGGCTACAATTATGGTGCCTTGTTCAAGGACAGACACTGCCTGAAGTGGCAGGTAAGGTGTGTGGATGACAATGTTCCTGACCTGGCTGTGTGAGTTTATATTGACTGTGCATTTGGTTTCATGCAGGCACATTACTGGGCTCTGATTCAAGTCCATGTGTCATCCCTGAGCGGCACTGAGACATCTCTGCTGTGGGGTGTACCAGCCTTTTGTTTTTACCATTTTGGCTTCTTCTCCCAGGAAAATAAAGACTTCTAAGGAAATCCTGCCAACTTCATTATATCACCCTACTGCTAGTAAGACCGCTGGATTCGAAATCCTATCTAGAGCAGCACAATGCCCTTACAAATTTTTTTCATCTGACACAGTAGAATACAATCATAGTCTCTAATTCTACTCAAGACAGGATCTACAAGAGGTGTACAGTAAAAGACCATGAACTTAAATACAGAAGTTTTCATATCCATAGAGAAATATATCTATGCATGTAATTTAAAATATATGAATTAAAATTATACACACTATAGTTCTCACATGGTGTTAATTTCTGTGCCCTATCAAATTTACTTAGTAATTTTACATGTATAGACTGAAGTTTAACACGTATGAACTCAGATTGTATGTGAATATATTTTTCCATGTTACTGCAAATTCTTTTCAAATTATCTGATTGATCCCAAGAAATCCACAATCCTTAAGCTGAAAATTACCTTCGAAATGCTCCGCTATGTGAAGGACAAGTCTAAATTCTGCTTCTTCAGCTTCAGTGACAGCTAATTTGTCCACTGTGCAATGCTTTTCGAATTCTCCTTTTCTGTATGTAGGATCTAAGGAGAGGTGGCTAATATATTTTTCTGCAATAACATTAGATTTGGCTTGAAAGTGATGTGCTGAGATATGCCACATTCTAAATATTTATAAACGGTTTGACTTTTGGTTTAATTCAGCTGTCTCTGACTTTTTGAGTATGTTCCTCTGCTAAAAATGGGGTGGGGAGAGAGGAACAGTTCAACTGTGAGCTATTCTTCAGAAAACTGGATGTTTTGCCATCCAACCAATGTCATCTGGCATTAATTATAATAGCATCTTGCTAATTACATTGTCAGCATACAGCCACTAAATTCAAATACAAAGAGAATTGTTAAAATGTCCCAATTTAACTTTGGTATTTCTTTTAAAGCATCATTCTTCAAGTTTTGTGTGTATATGGGATATTATCCAAAGCCAATGAAGTTAATGGGCTTTCTTCAGATTTGGCCCAAAAGCATTTGGAAAAATCAGTGGTGTGTCCAAACTGCCTCTCTAAATGAAGCAGTTAGGTTCTTAGCTCCTATTGTTGGTGCAGCACAGCACGCAGGACACCCTTATGCAGCTCCGCAGAGCTGATGTGTCTCCCATGGGACTGAAGACTATATCTGAAGGGGAGAGAGAGCATTGGACACAGTATGAGTTCACCATCGGTTTGTGCCCATGCCAAATAGAAAATGACTGGAGAAATCAAGTCATGGAGGGAAAATGGCACGTTGAAGTTAAAATACAAGTGCTAACTCACATGAGTGGCACCTGAATTGAGCCATGAATTGTTACTTAAAAGCTGAAGCAGTTTTCCAAAACCTCTGTGTGCACTGCCTTGCTGCAATCTGTGTCTTCTGTGTTGTGTGAGGGTTGGCTGCTCAGTAATTCATCTGCTGATGAATTTAGTGACTCCTTCTTCAGCTGGGGAGATCTTGGGAGAAGGATGAGTGCCTGAGCAGATCCTGTACTTTGCCCAGAGCAAAACAGTGTCAGCAAAATCCCTCCTGGTTTAGCACTGTGCCAGCGGTGAGGGGATTCTACATGTGTGGCTGAGCCAGGGTAGGAGCCACACTGGAGCCAAACACTGGATTAATCCTACCTTTTAACAGCAGTCCTGTCCTCAGGAAATGGCAGTTCTGTCACCTGCACGTGT